TTCTGGATAGCACACTATCACAACTCAACTATAGTGGATACCACACTATCACCACTCAACCATTCTGGATAGCACACTATCACAACTCAACTGTCCTGGATAGCACACTATCACAACTCAACTATCCTGGATAGCAAAATATCACAAACTCCACAAAAGAGCCAGGGCCTATCTTTGGGAAGGCGATCAGACAGGACTACTTACATACCAAAAGGTCGCTTCGCACTTCATAACACGTCGTCAAGCCACCAAAGGAGGTATAGGACTCATAGACCGACAGTGAGAAACGAAAGCATTGCAAAATGGTTCAGGACCTCCAATTGGGCAGCCTTGCTAGGGACAGCATTAGATTCTAGCTCCAACGCCCCCAAGCATATGTCTGGCCTAATGTGGGTAATGAACAACGGAATGGAGCCCTCAGACAGGAAGTAAGAGGCATCAAAGGGGTTCACCCCCACCAGAAGACCCTACCCTCTAGCCTGGTCGACAGTTTCACTCAGGATGTGGAAAGAAATCTTCCCAACGAAGTTTCACAATCGAGGGAGGAGGTGCTCCGGCAACCACTGCTGGGAAACCCCCTGGGCAAAGGATGGAGACAGCCAGCCTCGGGCACTCGCTAACAATGAACGGAAGCAGTGTTAGCTCGGTATCAAACGAAGTCTGGAGAGTGGCTCACATATGGGACGAAGAGACAAACAATCAGAAGACGGTAGAAAAACTCAGGTAATCTTTAAGGGTTGTGATCATCTGGCAGGCAGTCTCCAGCGGATAGCATCAAAACAGTAAAGGAAATCCACACAACTGTACTTACATCTTTTGGTTCCGGGTTCAAAACCTGGCCAGAACAAACAACAGACGCTTAGCTGGGGAAGTTGCAGGTCCGAATTCCACAAGAGCAATCATTGGCATCTGGGACAAAGCACGCAAGGTTTGGATCCTTTGGAGCAGAAAGGGAAGCGAAGAGTGCAAGTGCACGCCATGGACACATTTGTGTACACGCTGCTGTGCACTTGCCCACGAAAAAAATGGCCAAAAAAACAACAACAACAAAAAAAAAAAACACTCCAAAAAATGTACATGTGAATCAGATGTGACTTAATTTGCAAGATTTTATGCACCACACCAAGCTTTCCGCCGAGACACCTACGATCGTCTTCTTCAAATTTATAAAAATAGAAAACGATTGTTTCTTTTCCTGATTTTTTGTGGTTCCAAGAAGAGCAACGTAATTCACTCACTTGAAAAGTTGAACTCGATAATAAATTATTAATTGCTCGTAGAACATCAGCGATCCAGTAGATGGTCTAAGTCTACTGGCCACCTGGAGAGAAGATATGGGCATGCTTTGCTTTTGGCCTACTTGCCTTGTGCTCAAAACCTCTGTCGGAGTGATAAGGATTTGTCAATAGATACAGAATCGTATTATCACGTCCAGAGAACTCCTGCAGGTATGCCTTGATAAGTACATCCCAGCCTTTGCGTGTCTCCCACTTGAAAATGCTCAAGAACACAAAAGTCTCCGCTGCAAACAGAGTATTAAAGGTGAAGAGAAATCAGCACACACACACACACACACACACACACACACACACA